CCTCTTCCTATCTTGCTGTCCGTGCCACCGAATGTCCTGGCAGCAGAATCCTTTTTAAATGGGTCACGGCTCCCAGTTGCGCTGCGACCCTGGCAGGGGCCGGAGTTGTGAGTCCTTTAAATAGCTACAGCAACCCCGGGTATCTGCCAGGCAGTGTGGGACCAGCACAGCCTGGAGCCGGGAGCTCTTTGCTCTGTTTTTTATTCAAAGCTTCCCACCTCAATCTGGTGGGAGGCTAGTCTCCAGACCTGCCCCCTGCATTCCAGCCTCCGGCCGTTCCAAGGGAGAAGTGGAGCCAGCCTATGACCATATGCCAAAATTTATTATGTGGACCTCTCCTGCGAAAATTATTACCCACCCCTAGTCTAGTAGGTGTGTGGTCAGTGCAAAGGCCCTGCCCTTCTTCGTCAGCTGAGGGGGAGGAGGATCTCTCTGCCCATCCCCTGAAGCCTCCTGGCTGCTCTAAACAGGCTGGGGATGGGATTCTATTTCTCCCGCCCTCTTAAAGTTATTTTTCCCCGTAACGACTGGGATGGTGGCTGGGGCCGCAGGCAGTGGGTGAGGGTCTCTTGTTGTTGCAGATGCGGGTGACCTTCGAGGAGGTGGCTGTGTATTTCACCCAGGGGCAGGGGGCGCTGCTGGGCCCCGCTCAGAGAGCCCTCTACAGGGACGTCATGCAGGAGAACTACGAGGCGGTGACCTCGCTGGGTAAGGGCGTCCTGGCCCCTCGGGGATTAGGAGCCGTGGGGTCTGCGTGTCCGACACGGGTCAGGTTCTTCCCTGCTCAGGTGGCCTGGACAGGGCACAGCCGCCAGGGGAGAGCGATTTGCATCTCCCCATCCTGTGTAGTGAGACCAGGATGTCAAACCCTAATGGACGTGCTAAATCATCCCCACCCGGCCCCTCTAGATTTCAAGGCGGAGGGACCATGTATCCTCCTGTCTGTGTTGTTTCTCACCCGCACCCAGAATCCCTGTTCCCCTCCCTCCTTGGGACGAGCTCCAGCCGTGGGGAGGGCTCTGGGCTCTGCAGGTTTAGAAACAGGCAGGGGTGTAACTGCAGAGCTGTGAGTGTCAGCAAGGGCCCCAGACTGCCCAGATCCTGGGAACTCCTAGGGAGGGCGTCACAATTCCTCTCACCTCCCCACACGTCTGCCTCTTCCCAGGGGGCTCAGTGACCATGTTCCCGTCTTCTTGGATTGCACATTCCCCAGCAGAGCCCGGGGACAGGTTCCACTCACGGAATGTCCCTTGGGACAGACGCTCTCCCCACCCTCCATGCACCCTGATCTGCTCTGATTTCACCCCCTGCGCAGGGTTTCCTGTTCCCAAACCTGAGCTGATCGCCCGGCTGGAACGAGGGGAAGAGCTCTGGGAGCCTGACCTCCAGGCCGGGGAGGAAAGAGAGATCCTCAGAGGCACCCGCACAGGTGAGGATTGACAGAAACCAGTTGGGGAATGAAGGGGAAAAAAATGAGAATTCCAAAAACAAGAGATCAGGGATTGCCCTTGGATCTTTCTCCTCCCATGCAGGGGAGGGTGTAGTCAATCGATATTACTCACGGTTTTCCACCAGTCCTATTACCTGCAGGAGTTTCCTTCCCTGTGAGTGTCTGTGTGGGAAGCAGAGGGACAATCCAAATATTCGGTCCGTGCAATTTCAGTTTATTGAGATTTTTCTTGGTGCTGCTCCTCTTTCTCCCAAATCAGTGACTCCTGCCTGGATTTTCTCCCTCTCCCAGCAGGTGATGAGACGAGTGAGAATGAAGAAGGGAATCGACAGCAGGAAGTTCCGGGGGAAATGGAACCGCAGGCGACCTTTGTGGGAAGAGCTGAAGGGAATGTTTCCCAGTGCTTGGAACAGGGAGAAGCCTGGGGAAATTGGCCCAGGCCGGAGAGGCTGCTGGGAAATAACCCAAGTGAGCAAATGGATGAATCTGTTAAATGTGAGGAAGGACACAAGCATCCCACATTCCAGCAGACAAACTCAATGGAAAAGAAACACCATAAATGGCTCGTTTATGGGAACAGATTGATTCTGAGCCCAGAGCTTATGACCATTCAGACAGTAGCTACTGGAGAGAAACCCCTTGAATGCTTGGACCGCGGGGAAAGCATCAGTAACTGCTCCGATCTTAATGCTCACGGGAGAAGCCAAATGGGAGAGAGAGGCTCTCAGTGCCTTGAGGGAGGGAACTGTATGAATTGGAAGTCAGCACTGATGACACATGAGACAAGCCACACAGGAGAGAGACCCTATAAAGGCTTAGACTTTGCAACAAGTTTCATTTGTAGATCAGATCTTATTAGTAATCAGCCAGTCCACACAGGAGAGAGATCCCATAAATGCTTAGACTGTGGAAAAAGTTTCATACAGAGGTCAGGCCTCATTAGACATCAGGCCATCCACACAGGAGTCAGACCCTATAAATGTTTAGAGTGTGGGAAAAGTTTCATATGGAGGTCAGCTCTTGTTGCACATGAGAAAATCCACTCAGGAGACAGACCTCATAAATGTTTGGACTGTGGGAAAACTTTTACAAGGAAGTCTTCCCTTGTATCGCATCAAGCAGTTCACACAGGAGAGAGACCCCATAAGTGCTTAGACTGTGAGAAAAGTTTCATACAGAGGTCTGACCTCATGAAACATCAGACAGTCCACACAGGAGTCAGACCCCATAAGTGTTTAGAGTGTGGAAAAAGTTTCACAAGGAAGTCAGCCCTTGTTCAACATGAGAAAATCCACACAGGAGACAGACCCCACAAGTGCTTAGACTGTGGAAAAAGTTTCAAAAGAAAGTCAGTCCTTGTTCAACATCAGAAAATCCACACTGGAGAGAGATCCCATAAGTGCTTAGACTGTGGGAAAAGTTTCATACGGAGATCAGATCTTATTAAACATCAGGCAGTCCACTCAGGGGAGAGATCCCATAAATGCTTAGACTGTGAGAAAAGTTTCATACGGAGTTCAGATCTTATGAAACATCAGGCAGTCCACTCAGGAGACAGACCCCATACGTGCTTAGACTGTGGAAAAAGTTTCAAGAGGAGGTCAGCTCTTGTTTCACATCAGGCAGTCCACACAGGGGAGGAGAAACCCCATAAGTGCTTAGACTGTGGAAAAAGTTTCATATGGAGGTCAGCCCTTGTGTCACATCATAAAATGCACACAGAAGAGAAACCCCATAAGTGCTTAGACTGTGGAAAAAGTTTCAAAAGGAGGTCAGCCCTGGTTTCGCATCAGGCCGTCCACACCGGAGAGAGACCCCATAAGTGCTTGGTCTGTGGAAAAAGTTTCGCACGTAGATTCAACCTTGTTTTTCATCAAGTAGTGCACACAGGAGAGAGACAGCATAAATGCTTAGTTTGTGCAAAACGTTTCACATGGAGATCGGTCCTTGTTAAACATCAGGCGGTGCACACAGCAGAGAGACCCCACAAGTGCTCAGACTGTGGAAAACGTTTTATGTTGCGCTCAGCCCTCCTTCATCATCAGGCAGTCCACACAGGAGAGAGACCCCATCAGTGCTTAGTCTGTGGGAAAAGATTCATATGGAGGTCATCCCTTGTTAAACATCAGGCCGTCCACACAGGAGAGAGACCCCATAAATGTCTGGAATGTGGAGAAAGTTTCACACAGAGGTCAATCCTTATTACTCACCAGGGAGTCCACACTGGAAAAAGACCACCATAAGTGCTTGGACGGTGGAAAGGTTTTCATATGGATTACAGAGCTACATAAACATCAAGCACTCCACACATAACGGATACTGCATAAGTTTTGGATTTAGGGAAAAGTTTTACACAAAGATTAAATCTGATCACACATCAGGGGTTCCACATAGAAGAGAGACCCCATGAGCACTTGGACTCTGAGGAAAATGTCATATGGAGGTCAAGTGCCCATCATAAGCATCAGGGAATCCATACACAAGATAAACCCCATTCGTGCTTGGACTGTGGGAAAAGTCTTATCTCGTTAAATATCAGTCAGTCCACATTGGCGTTTGACCCTATGGGTGCTTGGGCTGTGGGAAAGGTTTCAGAAACAGGTCAGCACTTCTCAGCTGTCCACACTGGAGAAAGACCCTGTCCATACTGGAGAAGTGGGCTGTGGGAAAGGTTTCAGAAACAGGTCAGCCCTTCTCAGCTATCCACACTGGAGAAAGACCCTGTAAGTGATGAAAATGTGGGAAATTTTAGAAAGTGATCAGTGTTTTGTGTTTATATCAGAGAAGTCACACAAGTTTGAGACTCCCTAAGTGCCTGGACTGTGAGAAAAGTTCACAGAGAGATCATGTATTCTGTAACACATCAGGAAATCCACACGTCATAAGTACTTGGAGTGTAAGAAAAGTTACAAAACCAGATCAGCCCTTGTTTTACCTCAGAGAATCCATACTTGGGAGAGACCCCATAAATGCTTGGACCGTGGCAAAAGTTGCTTACAGAGATCACATGTCATTAAAAATGGGGGAATTCACACAGGATCTCAGCTTTTGTGACTTGGAGTCAAAAACGGTTGAGAAACTTGGAGGTTAATTGACTCAGATTCAACCTTTAGAGACGTGTTAGAGAAGTGTGTGTTTGGAGCCATTGCATGCAAGGTAGATTAGAACTTTGAAGTTATAAACTCAAATTGTTAAAAAATTGGAAGAAGATAGTAGTGCTGTTGATTAATTGCAGTTTAATGGCGGGATTAACTCCAAAAACTGATCGTAGTTAGAAAACTCAATGAATCGCATTGTTATACAATAAAAAAAAATATTTCTCAAAAATATCTGGCAGTTTTCCTACGTGTTCAAATAAATTGATTTCTATGGCAGGAAAGAACAGAAACTGTACAGGGCTCACTTTATATTTTATTGCAAATATTTCCACTCTAAACGTGACAAATGCTATTTTTGAGCTCATACACGTACTGTAGTGAAATCTCCTTAGCGTGAAAGTTTAACTTAAAATTTTTGATTCTTTTTGTTACATGGCTTCAGTCCACTTCTCAAGGGCTGTGTCTAGACTGGCAAGTTTTTCCGCAAAATCATCTGATTTTATGGAAAATCTTGCCAGCTGTCTACACTGGCCGCTTGAATTTCCGGAAAAGCACTGACGATCTCCTGTAAAATCATCAGTGCTTTTCCGGAAATACTATGCTGCTCCCGTTCGGGCAAAAGTCTTTTTCCGAAAGACTTTTGTGCAAAAGGGCCAGTGTAGACAGCACAGTAGTGTTTTCCGCAAAAAAGCCCCGATCGCGAAAATGGCGATGGGGGCTTTTTTGCGGAAAACCACGTCTAGATTGGCCACGGACGCTTTTCCGTAAAAAGTGCTTTTGCGGAAAAGCATCCTGCCAATCTAGACGTGCTTTTCCAAAAATGCTTTTAATGGAAAACTTTTCTGTTAAAAGCATTTTCGGAAAATCATGCCAGTGTAGACGTAGCCAAGCTGTTTATTTTTTTCTTTAGTTGAGTCGTTATTTTGGCTACTTGAGGGATGTCTCACAGGGATATTTCTTCTCGTCTATAGTATTTGAGATAGTGCCGAAGGTCACTGAGGACTCTGTGTCTGCAACCTTGTGTAGGCCGGGGATTTTAAACCAAAAGGCACTGCCTCTCTGGCCTTTGTTTGTGTCTTTTCCAAAGGCCAGAGCCAGCTCCAACAGCCTTTGGGCCAGCTCAGGTTGGTTCCATCTTGGGCTTAACTGCTGTAACTCGTTCTGCAAACTTCTTGAAGGAAGAGGATTGCAGCCTTTGCTGACAGCGATTTATCCTGCTCGTTTCGAAGAGATGCCTGGCAGCCTTGGCCACGTGATCTAAATCTTATTCTCCTCCTGGCAGCCAGTATGGCTTTTCTCAGGAACGAATTTCGGGAGCTGGTCTAGCACGTGTTTTGGCCGGTCCTCTTGTTTGTCCCGTGTTCCAGCTGCACATTGGATTCCATCGTTTGATCACTGCAGCCTGGAGAGGAGAATATTCCCATTCTGAGCCCTCTGGCCATCTGTTAGCGATAGCTCCTTGGCTTTCTGTTGGAATACAATGGGCTTTTCTTTCCGTGTGGCGTTATTGTTCCCAACGATGGCCGTGCTGTCTCTGGTAAGCAGAGGATCTTCTTCCAAGGTCCTGGATTCCTAGAGAGAGCCGGTCCATCTGCCTGGACAGAGGTGAAAGTAAGGCGCTACAGGCTGCTCCAGAAAGAGCCAGTGGTGTTCTGGCAAGGGGCGCGCGCTTGTTCAAAAGCTGGCTGGCATAGGCAATGTGTGGGGGAGGGGCAGAGGATCAAGTGCTCTCCTTGCCCTTGTGAGGGGGAGAAAGAGAAAGGGGAAGAAGGGCAAGGGGCCAGCAGGCAAAAGCCACTCTGGCTGCCTTTGCTGGCGTGGTCTGAGAAAGACACAGGAGATGCTGTGTCTCAGGCAAGCCCCCCCACTGCTGTCAGGTAATTGGATGGGGAGGGGATGGGAGAGCTGGGCCCTGTGGGGGGGGGCGCCAAGGGGCACAGCTGCTTGGGGGAAGGGGAGAAAGGGGGCATCTGCTTGGAGGAAGGAGGGCTATGGGGAGAAGGGCCCTATGGAGAGTGGAAAAGGGGCAGCTGCTGGGGGGGGGTAAGAGGAGCTTTTTGGGGAGCTTTTCTTAGCAAGGCAGCCCGTGCAGGGGAGGTGAAGGGGTGAGGGGGGTCAGCAGCCCGAGACCACCCTGCCTGCTGCCTGCGA